GACACACAAGAAGATTTGGGGAAAGTCTACCACCTAAAAACAACAAAAATGGATATACTGCGTGATTTCTTTATAAAAAAAAAAAAACGATGTATTTTATATGTAGTAGCTTTAAGCCAAGGACTATCGCAAAAACAAAACAAAAAAACAATGAGGCAAAAATGTATATCGACTTATATATGTATTTTGAGAAACGCTGACAACATATGCCAAAAAAGATAAATGCTTTCATATAATAAAATCACATAAATGAAAACCCTATACAAACAAGGAAACATACAAATCCTAGTTGGCAACTTTAATAAATTACCTTTCAAACATGTGGTTTTCACTTCATAAAACTCAAAGACAAAAAAGAAAAGAGCAAAAAATAAATAAAAAAACAAAAATTAACCTTAAGCAGTGTTAATAAATTCCAACACATTATCTTCATATAAACAGTAACATAAAGTACATGTTATTCTATTCAAATTTTTTTATCATCAGTTATGTTACCCTTACAAGATATAATGTATATGACGTCTATAATTCTCTTTCTTTCTTGCTCTCTCTTTCTCACTCGCTCTCCCGCTCTTTTTGTCTCTCTCTCTATATGCTATGTACAAGATTCACTATCTCTCTTTCTCTATATATATCGTGTGTATGTGTGTGTGTGTGTGTGTGTGTGTGTGTGTGTGTGTGTGTGTGTGTGTGTGTGTGTGTGTGTGTGTGTGTGTTGTGTGTGTGTGTGTGTGTGTGTGTGTGTTGTGTGTGTGTGTGTGTGTGTGTGTGTGTTGTGTGTGTGTATATATTATATATATATATATATATATAATATATTAATATATATATATTATATATTATATATATATTTACTGAACCAGATCACTCACTCTCTTTCTCGCGCGATCTATCTATCCATCTATCTATTTTTCTATAGGTTTTGCACCAGATCTCTCCCTCTCTCTCTCTCTTATATTCTGCCTTTGCTTAATATACACACACACACACACACACACACACACACACACGCACACACACACACACACACACACGCACACACACACACACACACACGCAATTGCCACAAACACCGGGCACAGAGCAAGACCTAAGTAAGTTCGAAGCAAGTCCAGAGCAAGTCCAGCTTACCCCTTCACAGCTACTGGTTCTTGGTCAAGCCTGTAGCAACCCAAAATCAACCCAAAGGCAAAACCAGCCCACGTGCAAGATAAGCCCAAAGCAAGCCCGAAGCAAACTTAATTAAACTAGAGAGCGTCCAAAGCAAGCCCAAAATTATTTCAAAACTGTCAGCTACTGTCAGCCGTCACTACAGCCACGTCAGCCACACCAACTACTCCCCCCGTCAGCCACCAACTACTCCCCCGTCAGCAGCAACTACCAGCACTCGTTACTCAGCCAGCCACAAACTTACTCAGCCCCCGTCAGCCACCAACGCAGCTACTCACCCGTCAGCCACCAAACTCACTCCCCTACCAACTACTCCACCCAGTTCAGCCACCAACTTACTCCCCCGTCACCACACTCTCCCCGTCGTCCACCAACTACTCCCCCGTCAGCCACCACTACTCACCAGTTCAGCCACCAACTACACCAACTATCACCGTCAGCCACCAACACTACTACTCACCCGTCAGCCACCTCTACTCCCCCGTCAGCCACCACTCACCCGTCTACTACTCCCCCGTTCAGCCACCAATACTCCCCCGTCAGCCACCAACTACTCAGCCCCAACTCAGCCATCCTTCAACTACTCACCGTCAGTCACCACCAACTACTGCCCCCGTCAGCCACCAACTACTCAGCCCCGTCAGCCACCAACTACTTCCCCCGTCAGTCAGCCACCAAATACTCAACCATCTCCACTATCCCTCACCAACTACTCACCCGTCAGCCACCCTCCCGTCAGCACCAACTACTCCCCCGTCAGCCACCAACACCGTCAGCCCCTACCAGTCCCAAACAGTCAGCCACAACCACTCCCCGTCAGCCACCAACTACTCCCCCGTCAGCCACCAACTACTCCCCGTCACACCAATACTCACCCGTCAGCCACCAACTACTCCCCTCGTCAGCCACCACAACTCACCCGTCAGCCACTGTCACCGTCAGCCACCAACTACTCCCGTCAGCCACCAACTACTCCCCCGTCAGCCACCAACTACTCCCCGTCAGCCACCAACTACTCACCCGTCAGCCACCTACTCCCCCGTCAGCCACCAACCGTCAGCCAACTACTCCCCACGTCAGCACCAACTACTCACCCGTCAGCCACCAACTACTCCCCCGTCAGCCCAAACTACTCCCCCGTCAGCCACCAACTACTCACCCGTCAGCCACCTTCTACTCCCCCGTCAGCCACCAACTACTCCCCCGTCAGCCACCAACTACTCCCCGTCAGCACCAACTACTCTCCCGTCAGCCACCAACTACTCACCGTCAGCCACCTTCTACTCCCCCGTCAGCCACCAACTACTCCCCCGTCAGCCACAACACTACCCCCGTCAGCCACCAACTACTCACCCGTCAGCCACCTTCTACTCCCCCGTCAGCCACCAACTACTCCCCCGTCAGCCACCAACTACTCACCCGTCAGCCACCAACTACTCACCCGTCAGCCACCAAACTACTCCCCGTCAGCGTCAGCCACCAACTACTCCCCGGTCAGCCACCAACTACTCCCCGTCAGCCACCAACTACTCCCCCGTCAGCCACCAACTACTCACCACTACTCCCCCGTCAGCCACCAACTACTCCCCCGTCAGCCACCAACTACTCCCCCGTCAGCCACCAACTACTCACCCGTCAGCCACTGTCACCACCAACTACTCCCCCGTCAGCACAACTACTCACCGTCAGCCACCAACTACTCCCCGTCAGCCACCAACTACTCACCGTCAGCCGTCACCTTCTACTCCCGTCAGCCACCAAACTACTCCCCCGTCAGCCACCAACCACTCACCCGTCAGCCACCAACTACTCCCCCGTCAGCCACCAACTACTCCCGTCAGCCACTACTCCCCCGTCAGCCACCAACTACTCACCCGTCAGCCACCAACTACTCCCCCGTCAGCCACCAACTACTCCCCCGTCAGCCACCAACCACTCACCCGTCAGCCACCAACTCCCCTTCAGCCTTCTACTCCCCCGTCAGCCACCAACTACTCCCCCGTCACCTACTCCCCCGTCAGCACCAACTACAGCCACCAACTACTCACCCGTCAGCCACCTTCGTCAGCCACCAACTACTCCCCCGTCAGCCACCAACTACTCCCCCGTCAGCCACCAACTACTCCCCGTCACTACTCCCCCGTCAGCCTACCACCACTACTCCCCCGTCAGCCACAACTCACCGTCAGCCGTCAGCCACCAACTACTCCCCGTCAGCTCTCCCGTCAGTCAGCCACCAACTACTCCCCGTCAGCCACCAACTACTCCCCCGTCAGCACCAACCGTCAGCCACCAACTCGGGATCATCCTGTTGGCCACTCGCGAGGGAATGGCCACCGTGCCTCCGAGAAGCATTCCCACCATCACTACCATTGCGGCCTCTGAGGTGCACATCTTCGCCATCTTGCTGTCGGGGAGAGAAAGAAAACGGGAATGATGGTAATTCATGATGATAGGAATAACGATGAGGATACTGATAGTAATGATGTGATAACGACAAAGATGATAGTAGCAGTGTAATGATAATAATGGTGATAGTAATAATGTAATAATGATAATGGTGAGAGGAAGGGTGGGTTCCGTTTTCTGTTGTCGTTTTCTTTTTTTTGAGGGAAGAGGGGTGGCTTGTGTATTTTGACTAGGGAATGTGTCTTACTATCACTGGCTTTGTTTTTCTTATTTTCTTTCTTTCTATATCTGTCTCTCTCTCTCTGTGTTTTTGTTTCTCTATCTATGTCTCTCTCTGTCTTTGATTTTCTTTGTCCCTGATAGTTTCTATCTGTTTATCTCTCTCTCTCTCTCTCTCTCTCTCTCTCTCTCTCTCTCTCTCTCTCTCTCTCTCTCTCTCTCTCTCTCTCTCTCTCTCTCTCTCTCTCTCTCTCTCTCTACCTGTTTGTTCCATCTCAGAAATAGGAGAAGTGGCAACTCACCTGGACTGGAAAACTCCGATTAGTCTTCTCTTTTCTTATATATTTATCTGTTTAATCAACCATTTCATACTTAAGTACAAACAAAGATAATCATATTAATCATACTTTATTTTTCCTGCAACCCCTTTATCTATCTATTTATTCATCTATTTATTTCCAAAAGAAACTTGGAAAATCACGGTACTCCAGAATCGAGGGTGAGTTGCCAGTTTAGAACTTTCAGATATTTGGAGGCGTATAAATCTGAAAATTCGAATCGATTTTTTAAAAAATTGAGTAGTAAAAACGAGCATTAGTGTACAAGAAAAAGAGTAAGAGGGAGCGATAAACAAAGAGAGAGAGAGAAAGAGAGAGAGAGAGAGAGAGAGAGAGAGAGAGAGAGAGAGAGAGAGAGAGAGGAAGAGAGAGAGAAGAGAGAGAGAGAGAGAGAGAGAGAGAAAATGAGAGAAAGAGAGAGAGAGAGAGAGAAAAAGGAAGAAAAAGAGAAAGAAAGAAAAGAGAGAAAACCAAACCACCAGCATCCTATAAACAAGCACTAACAACACAAATAATGCATCAAAGCAAACACAAACAAACAAGCATATTTTAAGTTTATTTTAAGGCCTAGAGACTTACCATAACAATATGCTATGCGTGTTATTGATGATAATGATAATAATAATAATAATAATAATAATAATAATAATAATGAGAATATGAATAGTAATAAAGATAATAATAATAACAATGATGAAAATAATGATAAAAGTGATAATAAGAACTATGATAACTATAATGATGACGAAAGTAGTGATGACAACAATAACCATTATAATCTTCATTATCGTTTTTTTTTTATCATTATCATTATTATTATTGTCATTATGATGGTAACAATCATGATAATAATAGTAGTAGTAA